CTCTCTCTCTCTCTCTCTCTCTCTCTCTCTCTCTCTATCTATCTATCTATCTTTATCTTCATTTATCTATCATATCTATATCTTTATCTGTCTATCTATCCATAAATCTATCTCTCTTTCCGAGAATCCCCTCCTTGTCTCTCATTCTTCCTTCCCTCCCTGAACCACTCTGGAGTTCCGAGCGTTTCTATTAAAAGAGGAAAACAGAGAACGATCATTATATAAAGCTGCAGAAGTTTCAAGCGTAATGTTACAATATCTCCGACGAAGAAGCGGATAATGCATTATTAAGGAAGATAATTATTTTTTCGTCGTACATATAATAACAGAAAAGAATTTCTTGAACAATTCCGAAACGCGCTTCTCGAGATTACGCACGTCTTTGAGAAGGGGAGGAGGGGGAGGGATTTGTTCGTTTTGTTTTATCGACACGATTATCATTGTCCGCTCTTGAAAATATATCTAAACAGTAAACGAAAGGATGTTTTATTCGTTGTTAACGACGCGACGCGACGTAAACGTCCGGTTCCGCCGGTGTGTGTCGTTCCTCTTATTTTTAAACAATTCGCGCCAACATGTGGCGGTACTTTACATATATCGCTTACACGCACGTGTCACGCACGAGTCTCTTGCTAGTATTCCGCTCGCGCCTCCAGCATCGAAAAATAATTAACAATGAAGGCGGAATTGGCAGAGCGTCACGACCGTCGCCGCCGCCGTAGCGGATATTTATTTACACCATGGAGGTGTTTTTATGAAAGAAAAAGCGCAACGTGTATGCCGTCCGATGAATAATGCATGCGCGCCGCGTGCATCGGTGCGCGATGAAAAATATTTGGCGACGCCTGATAGGGCATGTAATTGGCACGTTTCGATAAATAATAATACCGACAACGATAGGATTGGAAAATTCAATGGCCACGTGTACGCCGCGCACGCGCGTACGCGCGCACGTATTCGTATTCGTATTCGTATGCGTGTTCGTTTGCGCGCCCGGTGCACTTGTCCGTGTAGATAAAAGAGCGTCGTAGATGCAATCACGATATCAATGGCGGTAAGTTTCGCGTGCGGTGCAGCGCGCGGTGGCGGAGAGAAACGAGATTAACTGCTATAAATACCATCGCCGGCTGATCTCTCTCGGTCTCGCGCGCGCGGCCGCCCACCGGCGGAACTCTCTGCCGCGACTGTACTCTTAAAACATTGGAAATAGTTATGGCAGTGGTGCTCACTCCGCTCGACGGGATCGCCCCGGTGTCTCATTATTGATTCAATTATGTAACGCGAGCGCGATTGATAGCGCGACGCGCTCGTCAATTCGCGCTGTAATGAGCGACTTGATTTTGCATATCGAGGCACACTCGGGGTCACGCTCGTTTTCAAGAGTGTTTCGATTGCGCCCCGCGTCCCTCCTTCCCCCTCCCCCCCCCCCGTACGACCAACATGACCCAATATCGGGTTCACTTAGTCGGCAATTAAAAGGACTTTGTTATCCGAGAGCTGGTGCCTTTCGGAATCATCTTTCTCCGTGAAATCGATACATCCAGCCAGGAGGACCCGCCGCCACGCTCGCGTTACCTTTACAATATAAAGCAATAAATCGCGGGAGGATTCCTACCGACTTGGCTAAAAATGTGGGGCATTTTCATGTGAATATTCCGGCATCGATCTTTGCGCGCGCCTGTCTCTTTTACGTCCAAATCCGATCCATTTGAAATTTCGCCCGGATAAATAAAGCAAAGGGAGTAATGGACAAGTCTCCGCTACAAAGCAGCAGACGCCCGTACAGTCCGCGCCACAACCGCGCGAGCGGATCTCCCATCATGTTCCTCCTCCCCGTCGAGTCGATCGAGTGCGGTGTATCGAGTGTGTATTCCGAATTGGAAGATTCCTGAATTTTTCGCAGCCGCGAAAGCTCGCGCCGACGACACCGCGTCCGTTACGTTCGATATCCGATGTCTGTAATCACTCGATCGTGCCACGGACATTGAAGAAGAAAGAAAAAAAAATCAAGAACGGACATGAAGTGGCGTTTGTCGTTTCACTTATTTGAAAAAAAAAAAAAAAAACAACGAACGACGAGACCGAATTAATTCCGCCAAATTAGAATTATTCCGCAGCTCGCGTATTGCGACATTGTACTTTGAGCGAACTTCGAATTGTCGCGTCGACAATCGCGGAATGATTTCCGGTGATTGATATGTACCACGTGCAACAACATTGTTGACACACGCGCGCAAGACGTTCCCAGCGTTCGCCCCCTCCCTCCCTCTCTCCTCCATCCCCCTTACTCTTCCCCGCGCAAGAGTGCTCGCGTGTTCGCAACCGACGTCGATGTTCTCTGCTTTGATAATCATAAATGCGTTTGATGGTCGGATCTTTTAGCGAGAGGAAAAGGGGCGAACTGTATAAAAGATACTCGGGGTGGCGAATTGCCGAAGGAGGCGACCCCGGGGTGGGAGCAAAATTCTACGGCGGACTGTACGCGCCGCGTGCACGGTTCGTTTGCTCTTTCGTTTGCGGAATTTTTTTCAGCAGCCGGATAATAAACATTTTTCTCATTGAATAATAAATAGTTTTTCTAGGGGGACGGAGGGAGAGAAAACTGCGACGTGTAATCAACGTCACGTACATCGTTCGAGTCTTCGTTTATACTTTTGTCATGGGTGTATTTATCCATCTCTTTCCCTCCGCGAGAGGCGAATTAATCGTCATGGCGTTCTTTCGCCGAATAAAAAACTTCTATCAGAGAGCTGCCTTGTACGATGAGGCAGCTAATTAATGAGGCAGTTAATTAATTTTTCACATACGTATTTGCAATTTATTATTTACGAACGGACGTTTTTCAATTTTAATATCGCACGCATCCTAATCCACGTATGCGGAAAACTCGTGTCATTTTTGGCGCGAAGATCTTTCATTTTGCGAATGGGGCTTTATCACGCGTTACGTATGTGCGTACGTGCGTGCGTGTGTCGTGCGTGTGTGTCACGTGTTCCGCGCTTCGCGACGCGCTGCAAATACCCTCTAGGGAACCCTCGCCCCTTTCTGCGGTCTCATCCCCCGTTGCTACGAATCTCTCGTGATGGTCACGTGTATTCGGGGGAGATGGTATTTTAAAAATCGAGCTTCTGTGTACCGGTTTCGAGAGATGACTGAAAGAAGAGAGATCTCTTTTAATCGAATATTCTTCGAAATTAAATTGCAATCCGATGCCCTTTACCACGCTGATTCGTTGCGTAAATTTTAATATAAATATCCTGCCTGTTTATCATTCGATTAATATTGCAACGTAATACATTCTAATGTTCAAACGCATTTCTCATTAAGTATTAATATATGTTAATTATAATATTATAACCGTATGAGAATAACTGTTAAATAACGTATGTTATTTAATGATTACGAGCGTGTTATTAGATGCGATATCGAGGGAAATTATATATTGATAGGGTGTATTTTCTCCCGTATATAAAATTTATTTTATTCGTTATTTATCATTACTTTTGTAATGATATAATAATTCAAATACGAAAATGTTGACAAATTTTTTTTTTTCACCCTTTCAGTTATTGGGCGGTGCTTGCTTCAGCCACGGCCCTTACACATTTTATAAGGCGGTAAGAATAGGTAACGGTCGCGTCCTTCGTCTCGGCAGTTTCTTCCTGACGAAACTGTGGAGCGATGCCGACCTTGTCAGCATTGGCGAGCTTCAACTGCTGTGGATGGACAATCGTGGACCGAATCAGCCTTTGGCGTCTTTACGGCTCTATTTCCTACCTGAAAATACGCCGGATGGCAGGAGAGACACGCACGGAGAGGTATGTTTCCTGAGAAATATTTCTGGGAAATCAGGAACAAACTTGTGACGAATTTAAAAAAAAAAATTACAGATCAAAAAAATCAAGGACGAAGATAACATTCAACTTCAAGCGTCTTTTTACTAGAGCGCATGCCCTCGATCATTCGAGCCTTTTTCGAAGGACTCCAAAAATCTTAAATTTCTACTTTTTAACTAGCACGACATACCACAAAAAACTTTCCTCTTAAATTACATATAATTACTATATTCCAGTTTCTAAAAATATTTTAAAATAGTTTGAAAATAAGCTTTTCGTTTTAAACAGAGTTCATTAAATCAGAGTTCATCAACGCTCTTTACCGCTGTTAACACGCGTAAAACTTTACGGCCACAGCAATTTCTGCTTTGCCGACCATCGTCGATAACAGACCTGTCGCGTGATGCTCCGGCCTTATCATTTTCCCATGTCTCGTGTTCCCATTTCTCGCCAGTGTCATTTCGATGTATATGACTCTATGGAAATTTCATAGAGCGGCACTCTCGCCATTTTGGCGGAGCGAATATATCGACTTCTTTCCCATTGAGGATAGCCGCGCGTGTACGACCAAGTTTATATTTATCTTGCTCTAATATAAATTCAAATATTCTTGTGTACCTACTTGTGTATACATTGTCCGTTATATCGCTGCGTGTATCGTTAATTCAGCCCGGGGTTTGTGTCGTTAATGCGGTTAAAATAATCACGTAATCGCGACATCGCGCATCAATGTAACTATTTTCGTGTGCGAGATCAAATCGAGGGATTACGAGAATCACGAAGGAGGCATTATTCAAATATGCGGAAACACGTTGAACGCCCCGGGGCGAATAAGTGAGCGGAAAGGCCAGGCAAACGAAACTTGTGAAATATTGGCATGGCCTTAAAGCCACTTCGAAGGCTGAAAGGATAGTCCGACCGTTCGACTAATCCCTCCGCCCGAATGTTAGGGTGGCTTTTGGGGTCGTCACGCTCTACGCCCTGTTGTTCCATTGAGACATCGTCAATTAAGCGCACCCCCCCTTCGCTCGTCATTTTCACTGTTTGCAGGGCCGATTATTTCGGAAGGGACGGCCGATTGTAATCAGTATCCGCCCCTCGGAAACGCTGTCCTTGATCCTTCCCACTTTTGGTTATTAACTATGGCTATATACGCGCAAGATAAATGTCTTTGGCGAATGCTGTTTATCAAATTATTAACTTTTTCGTATTTTTCTATTCCGTTTGAAGCGGAATGAAATCTTGCCGCTCCTTTAAGACGATCGATACGCGTTTACACGACGGGGGGACAGGTCGATTTATAGCGAGGAGAAATGTTGTTTCTCTCATTCGTAACGCGTGGGAGAAAAAAATGCTGACAGAGGAGAGAGCCGAGCGAGAAGGGTGCGCGGACTATTCTTTGATGGGAATAATATTATAAACGCCGGTAGCATGGTATATCTTCCCTTCGTCGCGTACGTCGTTGCTTCGAGTTTGCGTGCATGTTCAGAAATTGTTCCTAATAGCTACTTTCTTAAAAAACAACAGGGCAGAGTACAATCCATAGTTAGAAGAGAGAGAGAGA